GAGCTGTTTTGACTCTATGTATTAGGTAGAGCTGTTTTGACTCTGTGTCTTGGTAGTGTGGCCTAATGCAGTAGGCATCCTGTAGGGTCCAGTGGCACAGACTCCCCTATAAGCAAGCTAGGTACTTGAGGTACACCCTTTGTGTGGGCTGAGTACACCCTCTTTGTATATTTGAGTCTTGGTTGCTGTTGGCAGATCAATGGGAGGGATTTACCCAGGCCAGTCAGCAGCAAGGACTGGCTGTGATCATTGACCACCAACCTTCGTCTTCCATAGAGAATCAGCTGTGCAGGGGCAGGGTCTGTAGCTGTCCATGGGGTGCTCTAGCCTTAGGGTTTCCTAGGTGGTGCCCCACCTGTGCTTTGTCTGAGGCAACCTGCCTGAACTATAAAGCAATCTGAGATGGCTGCTACTAGTGCTGGGCTTAGAGGTTCCCAGTTGAAGCCAAACTGACTCTAATCTGACTGCTGCTAGGGCACACAGAAGCCAGCTGTTGCTCGTTTGATAGGATTTAGGAGCCAATACCAGTCATTCACATGGAAAAGCAGCTTGGGTGGGCCTGTAAATTGAGTGGGGCAGAGCCTCTGGGAATCTCCAAGGCAGGTCAAATAGTGTTAGCCAGGTTGATGGAGTCTCAGATATGGCACCAGTTTACCATCTCTGTGGGGGGAAGGGCTTAGCAAAGGGACAATGGCCTCTGCTCACCTTGATGCCAGACACTTCAGTTTCTCCCTGTATACCTCTGGTGCCTTTCAAGCTGCTACCCCAGAGCTGGAGCTCAGAGGGAGTGAGTGTGAGTAGGTGAATCTGTGTATGGTGTGTGGGTGCTTTAAGAGGAATACTTGGGGATCCAGCAGTTTCTCCCACTGACTTGATCCCCACTGGATTTTGCAGCCAGAAATTTTGGGGACTTATCTTGCTGGCATTTGAATCCTGGGCTGGTGGGCCTGGTGTGGGTCTGGGACTCCTCACTCTCAAGATGTGCCTCCAAAATATTTAACTACATGGGTGTTGAATCAGCCTGTTCTGCATCTGCACCCCTTCTACCAGTCTGGATGAATGTGGTTTTGATAGGGGACTCAAGAGTTGGAAAATTTTAGTTTAAGTAATAGCTAATAAGCTTAGTAATCATCGATGCATGTAAAAGCTTTTGTTCCAGGCACTGAAGGTACTTGACTCCACCTTGACTCCAGGAGACCATAGCAGTTCCACCTTTGTTCCTTAGGAGAATTATAAGCAATCAAGATGGTATCTGAGCCATTGTACTCCAGGGTGGGATGACCACCGCCCAGGGCAAGAATGCTGAAGATGTTTTTTTAATCCAATTAACTTTTCCCTGAATTTCAAAACCCCTCACCACACCTTGTTTAGTCCCTGCAATAAAAACCTTGGCTGGGAAAGAAAAGAGAAGATGGTCTGTTAGGGTATGAACTCCCCATCTTCTCAGATCTCCAGCCATCTGAATAAAGTGCCCATAAAGATTCAATTCCTGTCTCTGCTTATTGGGTTTGGTAGTGACAGGCAGCCCAAACTCCAGTGTCTTTTCCAGTTTCAGTTTCTCTAATTCTGTAGTTGTCAGGCTTCCATTCAGCTCAATTTCTGACATTTCTGAGTGATGATTGTTCTATATTTTAGTCGTAATTTTGATGTGGTTGTGCAAAGAGGCAAGCCATGTCTGCCTATGCTGCCATCTTGACCAGAAGTTCTCCAGTGGCTGGAATTTTGGTTCAGTACTTTGCATATACTTCTAATTTACTATTTGATACATTCATTTGGAGGTCTTTATCATGTGGATGATAAAATTCTTTTAACAGTAGAGATCTTTCTTCCTCGTATTTGAATTTCCACTATTTAATGTGCCTGACATTGAAACCAAAAAAAGCCAGTGTTCATGCTGCCTGTCACCTACCAGACCCAATAAGCAGAGACAGGGATTGCATCTTTATGAGTGCTTTATTCAGGTGGTCAGCAATCTTCAAATACAGAAGGTTTGTACTCTAACAGACTGTCTTCAATTCCATTTTAAATTGACCCTTTTTATAAGGAGAAGAAAACTGTAGGCAAGGGATTGGGAATTCAGGGGAAAAGTCAGATATAAGCTGTAGCATTCTTTCATCTGTGTCCTGGGCAGTGGTCATCTGACCCTGGAGTACAATGGCTCTGATACCATCTTCACTGCAGTTCTCCTGAGGCACAAAGGTGGAACTGCTTATGGCCTCCTGGAATCAAGGTGGGTCATGCCTTCAGTACCTGGAACAATAGTTTTTCATATGCATTGATTTCTAAGCTTATTAGCTATTACCTAAACTAAAATTTTCCAACTCTTGTGTCCCCCATCAACATGTGATAAATACTCAAAAAAAGGTTTTTCTGGATAAAAACATGAAAGAAGTTAAATAGTCCCATATTTCCAGTAGGAACTTTGGCATGAGAGTGGCTTTGCAAATGTCTTTTCCCATGTAGGGGGAGATGTTATTCATTCACTACCTTCTCTGGATGCTTTTGAATATTTTGTTTGGTGGCTAGCTGGGGACTGTAGGTTATGTTTGATGATGAGTTGTTCATGGTGACAGAGGTGAAAAGTGTGACCATTGTTTGAAGATAGAATATAGAATAATAAAGATTTCATTCTCTTCTACCTGAGCACCAAATGTTCAGCCTCTGCTCTCTTCAAACTCTCTCCCTACATAACCTTATCTTTATTCATGACTTTAATTATCACCTCTATGCATGCACAGACCTACCCTCTGAATCAAAACCCATATTATTTGCTGCCTGCCATCTTCTCTCAGGAGCATCAGAGAGCCCATGAGGCTTGCCCTGCACAAGCAGAATACATGACCTTCCACTGCAATCCTGGTCCTCTTCCAGAGTTTGCTCTCCATTTGCTTACCACCTCTTCCCAGCAAGCCATCAACTTTGATGAATCCTTTTCCCTCACCCAAACCATCAAGACTTTCAACTTAAGATATAAAGAACTCTTGAATTGTTCTATTTCTCTCCTTTGTCAAAGCTACCACCCAGTCCTAGATTTCTGTAATAATCCACAATGGGCCCACCTATAAGCACGTGAGGACCCCTCCAATCCCCTCTCCAATCTCACCAGCCAGGGTGATCTTTTCAAAACTCAAATCTGTTGGTGTTAACCATCCTGCTTAAACCACCTCAAAGACTTATTGATTTTGGCCCTAAACAGTATTAACAAGGCTCAGTAAGGTCTGTGCCCTGCCCACACTTCAGGCTTATTTTGCCTCACTCCTGCACTTGCTCTGGGAGCCAGCTGCAATAAGATTATCTCATTGTTAGATAGGCAACAGTACTATTTCCATCTCCAACCCCCAAGGCCTAGCTACATGCTCTTCCTTCTCCAGTATCTGTCATTTACCCCTAAGCTTCCTTCTGATCTCAGCTCAGATATGATTTCTTTGGAGGAGCCATGAGAAATCTCTCTGACAAAGAGAAGTCTCCCTGTTATGTTCACTCATGTTCCCCAACCTTATGGCATACATCTTAGCCCTGAGTTCATGTTTCTGTGTGTGCAATTATTTGACTTATGTCTGTCTCTCTCAATAGATTCTTCATGAAGGGCAAGAACCCTGTGTTTCTGCTAAGTGTAGGGTGTGGCACATAATGGGTATGCCATAAATACTTCTTAGATGAGCCAACAAAGAGACCAAAATAAACCTCTGTCTGGTATTAGCTATAGTCACAGCAGTGAAGTTTTGATTCCCTGTTTCATTCTCTAGGGCTTGGGAGTAGAGTGGTTACAATGAACTCCTCTAGGTAATGATAACCACGATAACTTAACCAGCAATTATAGCCAAAATGCTTTATTCTTGTCCTGGCTTTACAATAAAGGGTGTGTCTTCAGGCAAGATATACATTTTTTAGTCCTAAACTCTGTTTTACCTACGGATTAGGTGTCTCCTTTTGCCCTTGAACTTTCAACAGCTTTCTCCAGACCGCTCCTCCTTCCCCTCCAGCCTGCCTCCCCAGCTGGAAATGTCTGCTGGCATAAAACAAAGCCAGCTTCTCGGCAGGAGGGCTGGAAGAAATATGGGACTGCCTTTGTATTTAGAAACAACTGCTCAATTCTATTTCTTCAGACGAACTCGTTTTGAAAAAAATGAGGCTTGAATATTTGACATGACAAGAAGTTAGTTCTCAACACTGTTCCCTGAAAGGATATAATTCATCAAACTGAAAACCTAGAAGCCCAATTTATGTGTATTTTCCCACTTTCTTGTTTAATTGGAGTGGCATACATTCAGACTGATCTCTTTCTAGCACAGTGATCTTTAAGCAGTATGAATTTTTAGGCTGCTATTTTTTATTTTTCATTTAATTTGCCTATATATTTTATGGTACATATAAGGGATAAAATTGGTTTTCAAACTGGAATGTTTCTCTGGAAGGAACTCACCAAGTTGCCTTTTCCATCTTTCTGATTCTTAGATCCCAAACTTCCTCAGGAAATGATGTCCGATTTCAGTGACTGAGGAAGAGACCCCATCCTAAGCTACAGACTTGCAGTGGTCTGTCCGTATGTTAATCTCTCCATCTCTAGAATGGACACAATGGTTCTTATCACTCTCAGGTGTGCGTCATTCAATCACTGATATGATATTAAAAGAAAACAAGAGTGATTTATCTTACAGAAAGACACACCAATATATTCTTCATGTTCTCCAATTTGCATGACAATCTCTTTCACAAAAGAACATTTACACAGATGTATATACACCTGGTTTGACAATTCCGAACTGCATCCCAACCATCCTCTTCCGAATAGTTGAAAGAAATCAGAGGCTTGCCATTGTGTAACAGAAATATCCTCTGGACGGGAGCCCATCGCTGTGGTTTGGCAACACAAACGGCACGTCCCTTTTTTCATCTCTTAAAAAAAAAAAAAAACCCAATCCATCCAGGAGAAAGTACCTTCAGAATAAAGGTAATGATTAATCCACCAGGCAGAAAAAGTATAAAACGATTCTTTTGGAATTTCAAAAGTTTTAACTTGCTAATTTAAATAAATAGCAGCAAACAGGGAGGGACAATTTCAACAGAGGAGGATTAAGTCACGGGCTATCACTGGGACAGTGTGGAGTCAAATAATCTCATCAGAGATCTCAAGGAATTTATGAGCAGTTGTCAAACTTCCTTTTTCCTGTGTGAGTGAAGTAGAGATCAGAAGAAGCAGGTATTGGCGGAAAGAGTGGTCCTTGGAGAAGACACACGATGCAGCCTGAGAAGAGACAAAAGAGGAAAAGCTTCAAGCAGAGACTGGTCCTGAAGAGCAGTTTAGCTAAAGAAACACTGTCTGAGTTCTTGGGCACACTTATAATGGTCGTAAGTACTTGCTGATTTTCTGTGTTCCAACCAGTAATACCTCCTCTCTACTTAGCTGGTGGTGGAGAGTTTTGTTTTGGTTTCTTTAAGTTCATCATCAGATTTATCTCTTCCAGGAAGCAGCAAATTACTTCCAGGTTGTTTGGCTACTTAGTTGTTTCAGTGTTAGGCTTCCATTTACTCATTTTGTTTGTCCACAACAGCTGGTAGGAGTCAAAGAGCCAGAGTGAAGTACTTTCTTCATTTTAGAGATTTGCTTGGACTCGAAGATGGCTTTGTGGTTAATGTCAGGCACTAGAAATTTTTTCATTGATTAATTAATTTATACCTTGCTGTTTCCCACAAACATTGAAGTGACTCGATCACTTGAAATAAATATTGACAGTCAATAAATCCATTGGCAAGAAATAGGTCATTTATTTCAAGTCCTTGGCAAACAGTGTGTTGACGTATCACTGGATTTTTAAATTGAAAATTGCACTAAGTAGAAATAGTGTTCTATACCATAGTGCAGTTTTGGCTTTGCTTCACTTTTTCTCTCTAACTAAAGCTAATCTCTAGAGATCTTTAATTAGACAATTACAAGAACTTTGTATGTTTATAAAGGAGGGACTGATTCTAAATCTCTTGAGGATTTTATCCAGAGATCTGCTCAGCTAATAATAAAAAACTACAAAGTGTACTTAAGTGGAACCAGCTCTAGGTTTTGACCCTGCGCATGTTCCTATGTATTCAGGATCCTGAATTTTCAGCTGGAGCCAGACCATTTGTGAACAGAAAATTAAATCATTGATTATTCTCATGTGTAGCTACTACTGATTTTAACTTGCTTTAAAAAAATCGGCTCAAGGATTCCCTACTCCAGGTATAAATGATTTCATTTTTCTTGAGGATAGAGAGAATTGCCCATGAACTTTGTACATTAAAAGCTCTTTGGTAATGTACATCATGGTGACTATAGCTACTAATACTACATTGTATATGTGAAAGTTGCTAAGAAAGAAGATCTTAAAACTTCTCATCATAAGAAAAAATATAACTATGTGTGGTCATGGATATTAATTTATTGTGGCGATCATGTGATTATATACACAAATATCAAATTGTGATTTTGTACACCTAAAACTAACATAATGTTATAAGTCAGTCATACCTTAACTTTTAAAAAGTTATTTGCTTTGGGTGAATGTATAGTGATTTAGGAGAATAGGGAAAAATTGAGAAACAAATGCGAACTCAAAACATTGAATTAGTGTAAAATGAGAGCACGTCATATTTTCTGGTGTCTGGCAGCTTCTTTTTATCTCATTTACTCAAGTATTTTCAAAGCCTTATGGGTAATTCCTTACACACCTGGGCTGACCTCACATGATTAAGTAGGGGAGGTTCTGAAGGAAAAGAGACATAAAATCCCAGGATTCTTTTGATTCCAGCCTTTGGGAAATTACCCTCAAGGAGACAGAAACCCTCAGGGCAGGTTACTTGAGGAGAGTGGTTGTCACCACTAACTGACTTTAGCTCCACAGTAAACCGTGGTCCAGAGAAAGTGAAGTAAATTCAATCATAGCTCTGAGAGTTCTGCAGAAAACAGAGGAGGAAGTGAAGTAAACTTTCATTTTGCAACCAAAAAAGTTAAAACTCTATTTCTTAACAAGAACTTCTTGCATAATCCCATCCCCTCTGGGCTGAGTGATTACTTTCAGCCACTCATTATTCTACTGTTAAAAAAAAAAACAAATGAACAAGATTCAACAGCCTGAATGTGAATATCTGACTGGCTTTATTAAGCAGTTCATAAATCAGGCAGTGTCCCATGTAGCAACTGAAGGGCGGTCCGAGGAATTGTACATAAAGGAAGGTTTTAGAGGCTGAATGAGGTGGCACTCAGAATTTAGAGTGGATGATTTCATGCAAAGCCCCTTCCTCTAGGGTAATGCAGGGGATTATGAGGAAGGTTTTATAGAAAAGAAATGACTATTTTGGGGCCAGGACACGTCTTCTTTGGGGGAAAAGAAGGGAAGGGTTATTTTCCCAAATATTTTAAATATTTATTTTATGTATTTATTAGAGAAAGAGGAAAAGAGGGAGAAGGAGAAGGAGAAGAAAAACTTTGATGGTTGCCTCTCGCATGCCCTCCATTGCAGACCTGGCCCTCAACCCAGGCATGTGCCCTGACTGGGATTGAACCAGCAACCTTTTGGTCTGCAGGCTGGCACACAATGCACTGAGCCACACCCACCAAGGTGAAGAGAAGGATTTTAACCTGCAGATTTTCTCTTCCTATGTATTGGGGGGATCAGAGAGAGTCCGCAGGACAAATTACCTTACGGATGTTCCCCAGAAAATTCCAGACTGGTTGATTAAAATTATGGTTTAGGGAGAGGTTGAAACTGCAATTAAATCAGATATTAAATCTAGTTTTGGCCCTGGCCAGGTGGCTCAGTTACTTGGAGTGTTGTCCCACACACCAAAAGGTTGCAGGTTCAATTTCTGGTCAGAGCACATACCTAGGTTGAGGGTTCAATCCCCAGCTGGGCATGTACTCAAGGCAACCAAGTGATGTTTCCCCCATATGTCGATGTTTCTCTCTCTCCCATTCTCTCTCTCTCCATATCCCCAGGTGAGGATTAAAAAAAAAAAAATCTAGTTTTGGTATCATGATGCCATTTTGGGCTTATGGTTTTCTCTTAAAACTAGTCACATAATTAGCTCTGTCTTCCCCTAGTACTCAAGGTGGAAGCTAAAGAAATAATATGTTACTAATGTGCTGTATTTTCCCATGTGTGATGCACACCTGTGTATAGTGCACACCCACGTTTTTGGTACACACTTTCAAAGAAAAAAATTCCATTTTAATTTTTTATTTGATTTTTTTAACTTATTTCTATTTAGAAATAAAACCAATGATCATATTCCAAGATATTGTTTTGCATATGATATTGTTATTGCTCTCTAGAGTTATACTTTTAACCCATAAGCATAAATAAAAGAATTAAAAACATTTATATAGATACAGAATTAGTACTACTCATGTATAATGCACATCCTTATTTTTCCCTAAAAATTTTGGGCGAAAAAGTGCACATTATACATGGCAAAATAAGATATATTAAAAATTTAACCTTTGTATGTTCTGCCTAATGAAATCTGTGATTGCGGTTATAAACTTGAATGCTGTTGAGGTCCTGGGAATGTGTAGACAAGAAGTTGCTGCACAACACAATCATTTCTTGATCCATAAATCTATGTGATTTTCCCCAAATATTTCCAAAGGAATTGTCTGCTTTATTAGCAAATGTGCATCTTGCCTTGCTTTCTCTAGTAAAAAGCTTTGATAAGGCAGGGAGAAAAGGGAGCCTTAGAAAGATGGCAGAGGGCAGTCATCACTCATTAGTCCTTCATGTTTGTGAAGCTGGTTTTTCCCCCAGACCCTGGGAGTCTGAAGTCATTCCCCCCACATCAAAACAAAACAAAACCCTTCTCTTAGGGAAAGCCACTCAAACTCATTCATACCTGTTGGCACCAGGGGTTAATACTTAAGGGAGTGGTTGCACAGGGCTTGTAGTTTGCCCACCGCTAGGTGCTCAGAGCTCTCCACCTGATGACCCTCTGCACCTGGCCTGCCATCTCTACTCTGCTCATGCCTATCGACCTGCCTACTACAGACCCACTGTAGCATAGAGGGAAGAGACAGTCCATGAAAAATTCTTAGTGAACAACTAAAAACAACAATAATTATATTATAAGCCAAAGAACTAGCTTGAATTTGGCTTTTTTTAGGCACTAAGATAGGTAGGTCTTTTGACCTTTGCTAATGTCATGAAGGAGGTCTGCAGTGCATCTTCCTTATCACAGAGAAGAGGTTTAGAAGCCTTGAGCTGCAAAGGTAGGGACCATGTAGTAAGTACCTCCATTTGTTAGCTTTGGTGCATACATGCGTTTAATCCTTACAATAGCTGCTATAGGAAGGCTTTATTACCCATAAACAGATAGAGAAATGAGGGCTCAAAGAGGTGAAGTAACTGGCTTTGGAATGAAGTGGTCTCCTTTGTCCAGCCCCGGTGACTCTCAGATGAAGGAACAGGGACCCACATACTCACAACACTCTGTCAAATGCTCTTCCTACCACACAGGACATCAGAAAGGCCCTCCACAGTCAATCCCACCTATTTCTAATTATTTTCTTATGATTTATGTCCTGTACACAGCCTTTCATGGATATGCACTTCTGTACTTGGGCATTCTGTCACAGCAAGAAAGTCCAAATTTCTAAAATCTGAATGTGCAGAAGAGCTAAACATGGGGGGTCCTTGCCCTGTGCCTTTAGTGGGGTATGAAGAGGCCATGAAGCAGGACATTAAAGTGGCATGGTTCTCTCCCTTCAAACAGTGATGATGACAAAGGACAGTGAAGGGCTTCATTAACATTGACTGAGCATACTCTTACACCAAGACTCTCATTCCTTGAAAAAATCTCATGACATAAAGGGATTGTTCTTATTTTACTACAACAGAGAAAAACCAAGGTTCAGTACATTAGCAACTTGCCCACAGGCAAGTCTGCGGTGGAATTGGGATTGGAACCAAATCTCTGAGCTGTGCTGAAGGCACTTACTCTCCTCCCATGCCTTCGAACTTGTACCATTGTCTCCTGTAAAAATGTTACCCTTTGAGTATTTTAAACACTTATATACATGGTTTCATAGCTTGTACACCTTCTACAATTTAAGATTCCCCCCACCCCAAGACACTTTTTGAGATTCAGCTATTTGGGGACACGTAGAAATAAGGTCATTCATTTCAGCCATTGTGCAATGTGGTGAGTTTATATATCCAGTCCCCTCACAAGCTGTTATGTTGGCTGCAATTTGTCACAATTACCAAAATTGCTGCAATGAACATCTTGTGTGTGTCTCTTTGTACCCATGTTCCAGAGTTTCTCTTGAGTATGTACTTAGAATGGGTTTGGAGGCCCTAGGGCTGGCTTTTTCAACTGGACGG